AATGGCGACGTCGGGAACATACGTGACTGAGGTTCCGTTGAAAGGATCGGCGGACAAACACTACAAGAGGTGGAAGAGCGAGAACCATGTCTTCCCTGACGCCATCGGCCACCACATCCAAGATGTAACCGTTCACGAAGGCGAATCGGACTCTCACGGGTCTATCAGGAGTTGGAACTATACATGGGGTATACATTTACTTATACTTTCTCTCTATGTATATAACACTTTATACACACATGCACACACGCATTATTGTGGTTAACTATAGTGCATGTGTGAAAATAAGGTTTCGGTTTTGGTAGTCTATTTATCAATTTCTAGAATATTTTGAAAAAATGTAAACGCAAACGTCCACATGCTTCAGTTCTAAATATTGTTGATTGATTAATTTGATAAACGCATGTATGTAAATTAAAGAGGGAAAAAAGGAGGTATTCAAGGAGAAAAGAGAGATAGACGATGAGAATAAAACGTTGATATTAAGAGGACTTGAAGGTCACGTGATGGAGGAGCTCAAGGTTTATGATGTCATCTACCAATTCATTCCCAAATCTGAGGATAGTTGCGTTTGCAAAATCACTATAATATGGGAGAAGCGTAACGATGATTCCCCCGAACCAAGCACCTATATGAAATTCGTCAAGAGCTTGGTTACTGACATGAACCACCACGTCAATAAAGCTTAAGCATCACCATCATCACCATTACCATCATCACTATTTTAATTTGCTAAATAAGGTGTTTTTCAGAATAATAAGTGTGGTCTTGTGGAGTTTCATTTCTATGTAAGATGTTTGGATATGTTGTTATGGTCATCATGATTGTGTTCGATGTAATGATTCTTAAGAATAAGAATAATGTGAGTTGTTTATCTTACATTGCTATGGAGTTTTCAGTGATAATGATTCTTGTGGACTTTCATTTCCACATCGTTTGCGGTGTTTAATTAATTTACAATTTTTAGCTTTCGCCAGAAATTTTAGATGGACAGAAAACCATCGGAAATCACTTAAAAAG